ATTTTTTTTTATAAAATGAACACTTTTATTCATATTTTTTTTTTTTTTTTGTGACGCTTGGCTTATGTGAATGAATAGGCTGCTTAGCATTCAGGATGGGTGTGGTAGAAAGAGGTTTAGAAATAACATAATACTAAAACCTTGCCTTATCTCTTGTTCTGCTGAAGCTGACTTGAAGAAGACAATTGCTGTGCTGTTAGATGATATTCTCAACCGTTTGGTGAAGTTGGAAGGGAAAGTGGAAGTTGCTGTGAATGCCTCCATACAGAACATCTCCCATCCTGCTGCTGGTGCTGGCACTCTTCTTGCTGCCAGAGTCACCGTTTCCAGGTCCACCAAACAAAATATGTCTGCTCAACGACTAGACAGACTTAGTAACCCTCTGCACTTCCTGCCACAATCACCTAAAAGATCACATAAGCCACACTCTTTAAAATAGCAAACTGTGGTCATGGACATCATCTGCGCCACTACAGCAAAGACTGAGAGATAAATATATATATATATATATATATATATATATATATATTTTTTTTTTTAGACTAAAGCAGTTTTCAGACATCCTTTTTCTGTTGTGCACATGAGCTTCAGCTTGATTGTTTTGTCTTGTATTCATGGATCACAAATATATTTTATAACTTATGTGCAATATGGAATATAAGATATGAGAGAGTGATAGGATGTGTTTTCTAAATGAAGGCTGATTTTTGATATACGGATGAGTGTTTCATAATGAATCTGTAAAAGACACCATGTACAGCATTATCTCCACAGCTAGCTAACGGTGTGTAGTGCACTTAATTGGATTCCAGAGCGAAGATTTACACGTAGCACCTTTTAATTGTTAAGACTCCGTGCGTTGCAACGCGATAGCTATTGAACTGTGGAGGAAACGAGCTGATCCAAAGAATAATCTCTGAATAGTTGATCGATGGCTGTATTGCAGGTTGATTTGTTTAAGGGTGGGGATATATATATACCTCAGTTGCTGTTAGTACATGAAGCTGAATCCCAGCAAAACTGAACGCAGCATTAATCTTTCAGGAGGAACTGTACCAGACAACACAACTCAATCCATACAATAAAACACGTACAATACTTCAGATGTGTCAGTGTACACATTTGTTTGTGCCAATAATGTGATCAAATTAAAATGGAAAAATAAGTAGGTTTTTCTCAAAGTGCTTGAAATAATTATATGGTTGTACCATGTCAATACATTGTTTTGTTTTTTATTTGGGATATGTCGATTTATAATCTATAAATTACAATCTTATAATGTGCTAATGTATGCTTTTACTCTCTGTCTATCTGTCTGTCTATCTGTCTGTTTATCTATCTGTATCTGTCTGTCTATCTATCTGTCTGTCTGTCTATCTATCTATCTCTGTCTATCTGTCTATCTATCTGTCTATCTATCTGTCTGTCTATCTATCTCTGTCTATCTATCTATCTGTATCTGTCTCTCTATCTATCTGTCTGTCTGTCTGTATCTGTCTATCTATCTGTCTGTCTAACTCCAAGTCCAGGTCAGTTCATACATCAGCTGAATGTCATGAAGCCATTTCTTTCTTGAAAAGCAAGTTCGTTTCTGTTTATTTGGTATATCTCACTCTGTTTGGTCCTTTCCAGGTCTCGCTCTCGTCGCCATTCAAATCGCCACTGCAGCCGCTCTCGGTCTCACTCTCACCGGAAGAAGTCTCGTTCTCACTCCAACAGCCCTGACAACCGACGCAGACGGAGCCAGAGCACATCGCCCACGTCTAACCGCCGCAGACATACTGGCAGTCGGGTGAGTGTCATGGGATAGGAGTCTTAAGTTTAGAGGGACCACAACTACTGTTACTGCAGTTGCTGTTAAAAATATAGTTCACACAAAAATTTAAATCATTGTTTATTTACCATCATATCATTGCAAACCTATATGATATTTATTTATATTTTTAATGAATATATTTTATTTTAATAAATGGCAGCATACAGCAGTGGTTCATAGACAATTGGCAGGGTGCCTTAACAAACATCCAGAAATATTTATTTTAATAAATTATTATTAATGTATTAAAATAAAACTCTAAATTAAAATCCTGAAAAAAAAAACTTCAATAATACCCCCTTCCTCCATAATAAAAATTTTTATTATAGGAAAACATACTGTTCTTGACATTTCTGCAGTCTCAAAAAATAACTACTTCTGCTTTATTAATTTAATATGTAGATGTTTCCAGTTACTGTTAACAAAGTACCGTTAAAAAGGTTTCGAAAAAACTTTGTTATACTTGCAGCAGAAATACCAGAAATATCTTAGTCATTATTGGTGATATTATGTTTGGAATAATATCATTAATATTTGTTAATAAACAAAGATGGAGAAAAAGCTTTGTCATCTTGCAGCAGAAATTCCAGAAATATCTTAAAGCCTATAGAGCTTATTTAGCTCTTCCCCTTTTCAGCACTGCGCTTGTTGTCTTCTGTCTTTCTGTTTGTATTTCCGCAACGTGAAGGTAAGGTTGTTCGAATTTATGAATGAACCGCTTGTTTTAAAGGGGTCATATGATGCGATTTCAAGTTTTCCTTTCTCTTTGGAGTGTTACAAGCGGTTCGTGAATAGATAAGATCCCTAAAGTTGCAAAGATTAAAGTCTCAAACCCAAAGAGATATTTTTTATAAAAGTTAAGACTCGTCCACACCCTCCTAAAACGCCTAGTTTAAACACGCCCCCACATGTCGACATCACAATGTGGGAAGATTTGCATAACGCCACCCAAATGTTCATGCAAAGAAAGAAGGCGTAACTTTTATTCTCGCTGTAGTATTGTTGTTGCCACCGCCGCCATGTCGTGAAGGCGCTGCGTGTTTCGTTGTGAAAGCGAAATGACTTTGTTTGGCCTTCCAAAAGAGGACACAACTAGAAATCAGTGGTTAAGTTGTATTTACAACACTGTTCCAGAACAGTTCAACCCAAATATTCAGATATGAGCAATGCATTTTACGGAGGATGAGGACTGTTTCCTGGGAGAGTATAGCTTACAATGCCGGTGTTCTGACAAATAATGCTGACATACAGCCTGTAAGTACGTTTTCATATTTAAAGGATTTGCCACTGATGATTCAAACACGAGTTTTGAGCAGTGTAGAGTAGCGCTTGTTGTTTGTCGTTTCTCCCATCACAAATGCAGACATGGTTTTATGTTTACGCGGCGCGATGCAACGCGTAAAAAGACACTTTTCAGACCAATGTTCTTTTCAGTACAGTATGTGGAAAATAATGTGTTTTTTGAACCTTAAACCGCATAAACACATTTCATTACACCAAATAATGTTCTTTTTTAGCAACGTCATATGACCCCTTTAAAAATCACATTTGTCATGGCATCCGCTTATATACATACATACACAATACATATGATGACATTCGTTTACTCTACAATAAGTAAATTCACTTCGCCAGCTAATTACTCTTCAACAGTGGTGCTATAGGGCTACCGCAAAAACGGAAGTTTAAGAACAAAATTCTAAAACTCTGCGCACTTGTTTCTCTGAGCCATAAGGTCTGTATGGGGGATATAGTGTTGGACAGTGTTTGAGTCAAAAAGTTTAAGAACCACTGGTATACAGGTTTATAACATCATAATAACAGAAGTGTAATTTTCCGGTGAACTATCCCTTGAAATCACTTTAATTCCCATTTTTGTTAATTAAAAGATTTTACATTATCTCAGGAAAAAAAGTTATCAAAATGTCACTGGGCTGGTACTTTTTCCTTTACCATTAAGGTATAATTATGTACCATTTGGGGGTAAATAAGGATCAAACAAAGGTGTACTTTTTAGTCTTTGTACCTTAGGGTACAGCCCCATTGACAGCTTCGTGTCTTTTTCTCTGAGAGTGTAGGCTTGGTTATCTGATTTTGAACCCTACACTTAAAATGCTTTAGATCAAGAACATGTTATGTATTTTTTTTAAAGTGATGTTTTAATTGCTAGTCTTAAAGGTGTGTTTCAGTTTTGTATAAAATGCATACAAACCCCCATCACAGCCTCACAGGGACAAGCATGACTGTCTTTAATAACCCCTTTCATTCCTTCTTATTACATCAACAGAGCTCATACAGCCAAGACTCCAAAAAAGACTCGCACAGTCATGGTGACGCCAGGGTATGTGGACCTTTCTTAACCTTTTAACAATAACCACTAGACCAAACAAGTCTCAATGTTGCCTTTTAAAGGGGTTAAGAAGTCCATGTGGTGACTTTTGGTTTTTAAAAATCACTTAGTCTTCCTGCAGTGACTGTGAAGTCCTTCAGACAGCTCATGCAATGACCATATTCATACTGTGATGCCCTAAGACATGTTTTGTTGGACGGAAAGCTGTAATGTTTGGTTTTGCATCAAAATCTCTTTAACAGGGGTTATTAAATACTGTCCCACAGTGATCCGGAGAAATTTCAGAGAATTAGGCAGTCATGTTGACTTGCTGCCCCACCAGAGAAAGCAATGAAGTATTTCCTGAAAAAATGGCACATCATCTCTGTTGGAGGGGTGTAACAATAAACACACAGGAACCTAGACTGGTTATTACATATGAAAGAAATGTTGAGCTGCTTTCCATCACATCCAGTAATTATTTTTAATGTCATTGCATGTGAATATTTTCTATGGTATGAAATTTGAAGGTTCACAAAAGGAGGTAAAGAAATGAATTACAATGTGTTTGCTTTTTTCCCTCGTCAAAGATACGATAATGTAAATTGAATGTTTACGTATCTGTATGATCAGTAATATTTGTGTAAAAAAATGTTACAATTGTTTGTGTGCAGTTCAATAGTGTTAAATGCAGAATTTCAATCACACAGGCAATGTTTTATTTGGTCATTGCTCAATTTTTGGTATTCTCAATCTTTTGTCCTGTGTACTAGTGCTGACATGTCTGTCCCTCTTACAGGCCAATCCAGACCCGAACTTGTGTCTGGGTGTGTTTGGTCTCAGTCTGTACACAACAGAGCGAGACCTGAGAGAGGTCTTCTCACGTTACGGCCCTTTGGCCGGTGTCAATGTTGTCTACGACCAGCGAACGGGACGCTCTCGTGGTTTTGCCTTCGTTTACTTTGAGCACATCGACGATGCCAAAGAGGTACATCCCCAGCTGGAAATGACCTGCCAATGCAAGTTCAGTCTAAGCGGTTTAGTGATCCACTTAATGGCATCTTAAGGACAACTTCGGATTACCTGTTGTATTCTAGTGAACACATTGATTTCGGTACATCAGTAAAATCTGGAAATATCAGGCAATTTGTGATTTACAGGACTGGAGTAGTCATGAAAATTACAGTTTATATTTAATTGGCTACATATTGCACTCATGTCAAGTAAAACTTGCTTCAATGCACTAGTAATGTCAATTTTGTGAGTGAATGTTTCTTTTGAAAGGATTCAATATGTTAGTTATGTTCACACATCAGTCTGGATGATCAATTAAAAAAATCGGTCTACATTTGTTAACTAACAACGAGCAGTATATTTTTATAGCATTTATTAATCCATGTTAACGTTAGTAAAAATCAGGTTGTTCATTGTTTGTTTGTTCACAGTGCATTAACAAAATAAGATCTTTTTTGTAACCAAGTAGTTATGGTGTCCATTGACTTCCACTGTATGGATAAAAATTTCATCTTTTATGGTACATTGAACAAAAAGTCGTACAAGTTTGAAATGGCATGAGGATGAGTAAATAATGTCAGAATTTCCATTTGAACCATCCCTTTAATCCTTAACAACACTAAGACATTTTCATTAATATGTTTTTCAGACCTTCATTGAGCACTCAAAAATGTTATTAGATGCTCTATGACTGTATATCCTGTCTAAACAGACCATTTATCCCTCACTACAGGCAATGGAGCGGGCTAATGGCATGGAGCTGGATGGAAGGCGCATCAGGGTGGATTATTCCATCACCAAACGTCCACACACCCCCACACCAGGCATCTACATGGGTCGGCCCACACAGTGAGCATTTTGCAGGCCAAAAATAACATTCTGACAAATAAGCTGAACTAGTATGGGTGGTTTGTACCAACACTTCAAATGTGACTCTTTTAGTAATGGAGGTGGGAGCAGCAGCAGCAGCAGTGGTGGTGGTGGTGGTGGTGGTGGTGGCGGCCGGAGACGAGACTCGTATTACGATCGTGGCTACGACAAATACGACCGTTATGACGAGTATGACTACAGATACAGGTAACACTGAATATATACTTCAGTGTGTCAAACATTTCTAGTGTTTCTGTGAAGGTTCTTATGAATTCTAATCTCTTCTCTTTTCCAGCAGGAGGCGCTCTCCGTCACCTTATTACAGCCGGTACAGGTCTCGCTCAAGATCTCGCTCATACAGCCCACGTGAGTGGATTTAAAAGCCTTGAGCAATCTGAATTTTCCACATATGCCCAAATACATGCCTGCTTGATAAGCCACAGCTTCTAGAGTGCATTACTCATGAAATCCCATTATTCACCCGTTTGCCCACTGAATCATGTACCATGTGATGGACATTTTAATTGTAGACTCATTCTAATAGAACGTTTGTGTTTCGCAGGACGATACTAAGAAGATCCTGAAGATTTCTTTCTTTTTGCCTGTTTGCATGGAGCTATACATTTATAAAGACATGTAAACTCACTGTACTAGAGAAAGATTTGTTTTATAAATGTCTTAATTTGTAGACTTCCCAGTATGTAAGGTTTGTGGAGATCATAAATACTGTCGTCATGGGGTTTTATGTGTGAGGTTTTTTTTTTTTGTAGTGTGCTCGTAAGGTGTGTTTCCTATATACCGGGCATCTTTTAGCGGGGAGAGTGTGTGTGTGTGTGTGAGTTGCTGTACATCCGAGGCAGAGCATAATGTACTTGAGAGCAGGCTGAGATTGCTTCTTTATCTGTGAAAAAATACCTTTATTTTCAGGATTGTGTTGCTTTGTTTCTTTCTTAAGAAATAAAGACCTTAAAATAAGTGTTTCTTTTTATTATGACAAGACATGCTTTGATGTGCTACTTAGTCTTATTAATGTTCTTCAAAGCTGGGAATACAAGCATAATTTTTTCCGGTAATGTACTATACAGAAATGAATGCCAACTTGTCTTAACATTTTGAATGCTGAATTTTAAAAACCACGGACGAAAAAAAAAGTGAAAAAAACAGATCTAATTTATCGCTAAGAAATTAGTTTTGCAGTGCAGTTTCTAGCATGTAATTAATGTCTATGGAAAAAAAGTGTGGTTAAAACACATTCCAATATCTGAAACGCAATAATTGTCATAATTATTAATAATAACAGGTGAAAAGAACATTGATAATTTGCATTGTTATCAGTATGTTACAATAAAATGTGAACAAAAGATGTCTTTAAAAATTTCTTTATTAGCACCTTCTATTAAGATTAAAAACAAATCATACAGAAATAATTTGTACAATACAATGGTTGGCAGTAACGTTTTCATCATAAAATTCAAGTAAATGTTTTTGCATTTTTGTAAAACTGCTTGGAACATCACTAATAATAAATAACCACTAATAAACAGTGAAAGTCAAAGTTGAACATTCCATTAAAGACAAACTGAAGCCGTTATAAAAACTGAACTGAGAAGCCTACGAAAGACAGCTGTTTTTTTTTCAAACCATATACACAAGTTGCTTAAACATGGGTTGAATGCATGCTGCTGTCACGGTTTGTAGTATGGTTAACATGAGGTCAAGTAGAATATGATATCAGTGATATTTCAGTAGAATTTTTAGCCACTTTTCACTAAATATTACATTATATAATGCTTAACAGACCAATTAATTAACATTCAATTTGTTACAAATGCCAAGATACATGAATTCAAATATATGCATGTTTGAGTGAACAGCTGATCTTGAGATTTATACAGAGCCACTTCAGTAGTTAAAACTTTAAGAGTGTTCACAGGATATTACGAGAAGCTTTCGTTTGTGAATCTGTAAATGTGTTTGAAATCATCCATATTAAACGACCAGAAAGGCACACAAGGTACTCCATTAGAGCAGTGTGGAGCACTTGGCTACATTAGACTGTCGGCCATATTGTTTTCACCTATCCAGGCATTTCAGATTAGTGGAGTGGAAGAGTAAGGAAGTTCTGAGACAAGACCGTTGCTTCGATTTCACTCCCTGATGTGGCAAGGAAGTGACATGAGGCCAACACTGCTAAAATGTTATTGAAAGTACTTTTGAATATACATATTAAAATGTTCAGAGACTATAAAAAGACTTTGGTGGACCAAAAAGTTCCAAGTCACTAACTGCCTCTCTTGTAAGTCATTGAACTAATAATTTTGTTACTTCTCTTTATATGAGATCGTATTTTATGCAAAATTGACTAAATGTATCAGCTGTCAGTGTATTGTCATAATAATAATAAAAAAAAGATACTTTATCACATCACAATTTTTTTTAGAAGACATTTTTTATATGGATTATATAAGACTTTATTCTTTTATTGTGCTGTGGGGCATTGAGTTAATAAATATTACATTCGCTTTAATGTACACATGCCATGTGTAGCTTCTTTGTAAAGAAAAAAAAGATCACATTAAATGTCATCTTCATACTGTGCATTTCTTTACAATTGTTCACTTTTTTAAATCCTTAAAACAATACTTTAAAATTGTTAAAAATGGACATCCTCACATGTGTCAACTTTCACACAAAATAAGCCACATATTTAAGTCACACTACTTGTGTACAACATCTTTTTCCTGGTTCTACCATTTTTATTCCTATGTTTTCAGACCATCTCAGCAATTAAAATGACTGTTGGGTGCAGTAAATAACAGTCTTTACTCTGTAGAATCTCCTTGAATTTTCATCAACGTACATTATCAACCTGGCCACCTACAAACATATCAGTGGACACATGAAAAAAAATGAACTAAATGCATTTCTAAATCAATTTTAAAAAAAAACAGTCCATACCAATTATTTCAACTGGACATGAGAAAATTAGAGCACACTATATGACCTCCCATGTCTTCAATGGCAACCACACCCATTAAAACAGAAAAAATACAGTATCCATTTCTGAATTAACTCGAAATGCTATAAACTCTGGCCTTAAATTAAAACCACTCAAAATATCACAGCCTGCAAGTACAAATTTATTATTATTCTTGCACTTTACAAAAATAATTTCCAGAAACCAAGGGCATTCTTAACCCTTAACGCCAATGTAGGCTCTTAAACAATTTATATTTATTTAAGGATGTAACAACTTATGTCTATCTAGCTTTGTTCTGCTTGAGACAATGAATATAGGATTGGACTTGTTTTACAGGTCTGTTAAGATATTCAGACATTATGCACTGCACTCAAACAGGCCTCTAACCAAGCATGTATTAAACATTTAAACAAAAACTCTTTTTATTTCCAATCCTCTGTTCGTTAGCTTAAAAAAGAGGCCCTGATAAAGTTTGCAGTGCTTTGATTTTTGAGGCCCCCCAGTCAAAGGTCAGGCCCACCTCGTCACACAGGTTACGCTAACTTGTTTTTGTTCTTAAAATGATTTGAGACAAATATTTGTCTATCTCAATTTTGTTTTAAGCTCAGTAAAAGATAATTGAAAATAAACGTATGAATTTTAACAAATACTCAAGACTATACAAGGACAGTTTTATATACAAATAACTTATGTAGGCCAAGGTTTGTTTATTTTTTTGTTTTATTTCTTTGCTTTTTTTGGACGACCATCATCATAATCATCATCATCATCATCATAATTTCATAAAAAATGCAGTATGTATGAGTATGAGAAGTATCTCAAAATAAAATATCTAAGTAAATATGTAAAACTTCCAACTTTACATAGTGTAAAGCACAATAATAATAATACACATTTCTGATTACGTAACTTTAAATTTTACATTTGAGCTTTCAAAGTCAAAAACATTCTTTTAACATTCTTAAAAACAGCGAAACAGTATAAAGTGAATGAATAACTGAATGAACGTACATACCCTAAACAACTAATGACTAAACACTCAACACATTCCTTAGGATGATATTAGTAACCTAAAGAAGTTTGTTGTATGTAATTGTAACGCAAATAAATGAACTATATGAGTTCTTTGACAGAAACAAAGGAAACAGGTAAAAAAAAAAAACTACTGGAAGTGAATCAGTACCGCCATTTTCTGTATAAATACACAGTGGTTAATACAGCCAAGAACATAAACATCGACTAAACTGTCAAAAAATTATATCCTTAAAACATAATCAACAGAAAAGAAGTAGTAGTCGGTTTCCAACAAATTACTGGTTCAAAAATAACGTTTACACGAAACAAAGCTGGTGGCTATAAACAAAACTTCTGTGAGAGTTTCTGAAAGCAAATCTTCGCATAAACATGGCGTTAACTGCACACAATGTTCCATACATTCGCTCAACAGGCTCAAAACACGCAAAAAGTACCTGAAATCTGAAACGATACAAAAAAAAGATACTTTTCAACTTACATCACAAAACTTCTGTGAGTTTCTGAAAGCAAATCTTCGCATAAACATGGCGTTAACTGCACACAATGTTCCATACATTCGCTCAACAGGGAGCATAGGCTCAAAACACGCAAAAAGTACCTGAAATCTGAAACGATACAAAAAAAAGATACTTTTCAACTTACATAGTGCTTAATTCCAGTGTTCTTCAACGAAAGCGAAGGCAGCAGTTGTTGCTTTTGTTAGCCTTTTGTCTGTATATAATATATAGGCTACGTACGTATTTATTTGACCGTTTGGGTCCCTAATTCGACTTAAACGGCAAATTATCCCGAGGCTTTTAAGTAAAGCCCGTACATATTTTTCGTCTAACCGACATACTACACTCAATCCGCATAATTTACTAGCCTACATACACAATGTTTTCCTATAGAAACCGTCTCCCCTGACGGGTGGAGCAACGGGTCGCATTCCTTTCCAATAACATGCATTTAAAGCAACTTCACAAACGTGCTGTACGAATGTAGGTTTAGTGATTCTATAAAGCACGTATTCATTATATCACAGTCTATACAAAAGTTTACAATAGGAAAAGGACGGTGCAAAAAGGGGGCAATAGTATGAAAATAAGCATCCGATCTGACCAACGAATGAGGGGAGGAGAATCCCCACATGTGTGCTAGACAAAAGGACTGGGTATCTAAAGGCATTGCATAAACTAAGACTTTCCGCCACATCTGTAAAGAAACAACCAAGTTTGCAGAATCAGAAAATGTTGAATATATAACACATGCATGCGAACTGCCTCGAAATACCTCATGAAAACGAAGTCCTCCTCCATATTTTCTTTTCTTTGCATGTTTTTTTTACCTTTTAAACTCAAACAGAGAAAATGTATGGTGCATAATAAGTTCCGGTTTCTAATTTTGAAACTGGATGAAGTCATTCTACCCCATAGTAGACTTTTTTCGCGCCTGGATTTGTACCGAAGAGCTGCGGATGAAAACCAATGAATGAACAGTCGATGCAGCAGTCAGCGAGAGTAGAAAAGCAGAAAGGAGCTGCGCTCTCATTGGTCTCCTGTTCGACCAATAGGAGCTCATCATGTGCGTGCCATTCTACAGTAGTATTTCAGTTGTGCTTAGCATCCAGGCCCATGCTGTCTGACTTTACCCACAATAACACATTGAGAAATCAGATGTTGTTACTTTTTACACTTTTAGTTGCCATTTAAAGTTAATATCTATGGCATTAAAAAAAGCTAGTTC